CCTGTTGGGGTTACTGAACTAAACTTTATGGAATAAATGAGAACTTTTCCTGTTTTACTCTTTTCCATATAACAGCAAAGTTGCTATACTCCGACTTTCCATTTTGAAAGTTTTTACTTAAAAAGAATAAAAACCCACTCCTTGCAACTGCTGAGAAGTGCCAAAACCGGCCTCAATTTCTTGACATATCTATTGGTTTTGCCAGTCTACACTATTGGATTGCATGCATTATTCATGCACATTTTGACCAAAATAGCTTTAAGATTCCTTTCTTGAGAAGACGATCTCAACATGTTTCTAAAAAGGAAAATGAACAGACAGTAAGAAAAACAATACATCTGAAGCTATAATATTCAAAAGGAAGAAATTTTCATAAAACTGTGCTCATACTAGTATTATTTCAAAACTAATTCCTTAGTAGATTAGGTTCTTAGCTATGCACCTTTCACTTTCACCCATTCCCCAGGCTCCATTTTTTGGAAAGTCTTGTTTTGTTTTGCTTTTGCAATGCAGCCTTTATTTATTTAACTTGCAGTGGGGTGGGCCACACCTGGTGATACTCAGGGTTTACACCTGGCTCTGCACTCAGGGATCACTCATGGTGGTGCTCAGAGGTCGAGATGTGGTACCAGGATGGAACCAGGATTAGCTGCAAGGAATGTTCTGGGTTATGAGAGCGGGTACATAATCCCTCCTCGGGTCCCTGTGTCAAGGAGCGAAGCTGGTCAGAGACCAGCATGTCACAGTGCTGACCTTAGAGGTAGAAAACAGGGTCTCAGGGAATGCAGGCTTCTAGAAGCTAAAAACATTATGGAAACAGACTTTTCTTCTTGGGTCCCCTGGAGGTACAGTTAGCCCTGATTACACCTTGGCTTTAAGACCTTTCACCTCCACGACTGTAAGAGAGTAAGTTTTCAGGCAACTACATTTGTGATGATTTGTTAAAGAGCAACAAAAAACTTTCACAGGAACTTAAGTCAATTAAAAAATAATAATAATAATGTAATAAGGGTTCTACCCAGCAGTGCTGAGGTGAGCGGGAGGAATACTTCCAGTGATACCAGCCTGCCTGGTAGTGCTTAGGGGATGCGAGGCACACAGGCCTGGCAGCTTGGAGGGGGTGTGGGGCCTGAGGTCAAACCAGAGTCTCACACGTGCACAGCATGAGCTCTCTCCCTGGCCCTTGAGCCAATATTTTGAAAGACTTAGTGCTGAAAGCATAGGCAGGAGAAGAAATCAGCAAATTTTATTCAGAAGGCCTGAGGAGACAGGCATTAGAACAAATCAGGAGAGGAAGACCTTATTTATGGGATATATTTTCTTTTGTAACAGAAACAAAGGAGAAATGGCAGTCAATGTGTGAAGACTCAAGTGAGAAAAGGAAGCCCATTTCCTAGATGATGGCTTATGTAGCTGGATCATTTGACTCTCAATTTTAATTTTCATGCAGTTTGGTACATTGTGCCAAATGATCCACAAGATTTAGTAGGAATGGCCACAGAAAGACAACTTTGTTCAAGCAATTGCAACAAAACTGGGTAGGTCTTTCAGGGCCATCAGTAACAAATACCTGCCCCCACCCCCCCCTCCTCTTCATTTCCTAAATCCATGGCTGAAAATGCAGGTGAGTTCACCATGGCACTTAGAAGTTACCTCGGGATCTTTCCAACACAGCATTTGATAAAAGCAGGAGATACTGCAAACCAATCTGAATTGGCATTTGGCATTTGTCAATTCTGACACAGGGACTGTTTTTCTATCTCTTTTCCTCAAAGGAGGCAATCATGGAGATGAATATTAAAATACAACCAAGAAGCAGAAAAAATGACAGTAGCTGCAAAAGATCTACCCAAGTGAATAATTAAGGGAATTGTGCTAAATCATAGGACTATTATGCAACCTTTCAATAGAATGAACATCAATAAAAGTGGGAGAAAAAACCCACAAGTAAATGAAGAAAAAGAACGGGCTGGTATCATAGTAAGTTAGATGATGATGGGAATGATGTCCAAAATAAGTTGTCACATGAGAAAGCAAACTCCATGCCATACTCACCTCCCATAGCTGCCATGCTGACTTACACACCAGCCTACTCTATCCATTCTACCTATTCGCGATGAAATCTCCCAGGAGATGGACACCAAGCTGCTAAAATTTATGAAATCATTGATCCTCAAAGCTGAAACCTCTGGGAAACCTCAGGAGGAGGGTGGACTGAATACCCACCCAGCCGAAGCTCCAGCAGTCGCACCCACACCCCATCACTGCAGTCCACTCCAAGGGCTCCACTCCGCTGCTTCATGAAACTCTCTAGGGAGATGCTAATCTGCAAATAATTTCTGGTACCTGGTGCCCAAGCACACAATGCTGATGTTTTAAGAAGTTGGGGGTAGGCAGCCCCATGACAACTCCCATGCTTCCGGCAGCCATGCCCATCTCCATGTCAACCCACTGGCCCAGACCACAGATCCTAAAGTCTTGGAACCACGCAGGCAGCACACATAGCCATGGGGACACCTCCTAAATCAACAAATAGCTCAATACATCCTTAGATAAAGACTTAACAACCCTGAAATCTGATAGAACAATTTTCATATAAAATGATTTATTTAAACTTATTGATTTTAAAATTGGGGCTTTGTTATTTGAATCAATTTTATTTCTAACCGTTCTGGTTCTTTTCCACATTAAAATAAATTTTAAAAGAAAAAACAAACTCAGAAAAATGATACAATTACTTTCATTCATGATTCTAACAAAAGACTCAAACATGGACATGTGCCTATACATACAAATGCTTTAAAAAAGTCAACTTGGTACTATCAGTTGGTAACAAAAGTCAACTTGGTACCACACGATAACGAACCTGGAAGGAGGCATGAAATAACTGAGTCAAGAATAAAGGGGACACTATTCACACTTTTAGATTATTTAAAAGAGATTTTTACCAGCAAAAATTTTTAATTTTTTTAAAAGAAAGGACAAAAACTGATGAGCAGCTGGCGCCTGGGCTCTTGTACATCCACTGCATTGAATGTTATAATCCTTCTGTGGACATTCCTTTTTGGAGGCCCCACACAGAAGGAACACGAGGGATAATACTCCTGGACTTGGCGCAGGATAGAATTGAATGGATGTCAATAACGGAAATGTCATTCACCTTCCCTTCCCACCCACACTGATCATGTTAACAACAGCAATTACCCTGTAACTCATCCTGCCACTTCTAAATACTATCTTTTCTTTTTTTTCCAATATGAGTCACTTTCATAAGCAACATGTCTAATTGACAATATCATCCCTGTCATCATTTCTTTAATTAATCTAAAATCTGGCAGTTACAATTAGTTTTTCTTCTTTCCATTATTAAACTTCTCATGTTTCTAGTTTTTAATTTTACATAATGAATCTCCTTTCTACACCAGTCTACCAACATTATTTTCCTTTCCTATATGATCACTGTGGTACTGTCCTCCCATTGTTCGTCGATTTGTTCAAGCAGGGACCAGTAACATCTCCATTGTGAGACTTCTTGTTACTGTTTTTGGCATATCAAATACACCACGGGGAGCTTGCCAGACTCTGCCATGGTACTTTTCAGGCTCTCCAAGAGGGGCGGAGGAATCAAACCTGGGTTGGCTGCATGCAAGGCAAATGCCCTACCCTCTGTGCTATCGCTCCAGCCCATGAAATCATAATGCATATAAAATCTCAGTAGCAGGGCTGAATCTGTACAATGACTAGGTTACTTGCCTTGCAAACAGCCAACCTAGATTTGATCCCAGGCATCCAATATATCTCTTCAAATCCAGCAGGAGTAGTTCTTAGCAGAGTCAGGAATAAGCCCTGAACACACCTAGTGATACCTGCCCCCCGATATGATCATAACATTTTTTTAACTTCCTTCTCTTAATTATCTTCAGTTCTTTAGCTGCTTCTCTCACTGTGCTTCCTTTGCTCCCTATTGTGAATATGATTCTTTTACTCCACATGCACTAAGGTATCCCGCTTCTACGGTCAACTTTTGTAAATTAGTAATTAAATGCATGTATGCATCTACTATGTAAGTATTGTAAAATTTCCTTCTAATAAACAGCTAGCTATTTTTAGAGCCAGGGACAAGGCTCAGCGGTAGAACACTTGCTTTGCATGTGTGAGAGGTGTGGGTTCAATTCCCAGCACCATAGAAACAAACAAACAGAAAAAGGAACTAGTCATTCTCAGTCTCAGTGATCTCCACACAGTGCCTGGTCTAAGTTTCCGAGTTTCCTTCCTTTAGCATGGCCATACACCAACCTCGGAAATTCTCAATTAAATTCCTGAAAGGATGAAACTACTAATCGGTCCACCCACCTCTCCTGCAAGTCATTCTCAATTCTCCCCACACATCTCCCATCTTATAAACACCTAGAACACCAAGGCACCATCCTCAACACTATTTAAACATACGAACACATTTAATCTTCATTCACCGTTGGAAACAGAGACTAATTATCTCCATTAGGAGTCTGTGCAAACTGAGAATCAGAGCGCTCATGGAGCTAGCCCAAGGTGAGATATTTCCCGCAGCCTGCCTCTGCAGCCCATGCTCATGAGCACTGTGCAACATCCCCCTCAGGCACGCAAGCCGAAAGCAAAGCAAAGCACTTCCTTTATCTGCTTTAGTCACACATCTAACGTTATATTTGGCATACTGAGTCATCATTTATCTAGAAACTTGAAGGCCTCTCTGAGGCTAGACACTCTCCTTCAGAAGCATGTCAGCACCTGACAGTGTCTGAGCCTCTGGCTGAGCGAAGCATTCACTGTCCAACAGGCAGACTCAGTAAGGACTTTTCTATTCCAACTCTCAGACTCCTTTTTTGATAACAGGACATAAAAATAGACAGTCTGGGATGCTCTAAGGACACAGGAAATTAAAAGTGACATGCACCCTAAGAAGACACTAAGGTGGTGGCCTTTAAGTCACGAATGACATGAATGGAAAATACTAGAATTACCTGACAGCGCATCATAGAATTCGTCTTCACTAAGGACACTGAGAGGTGGTGAGCCTTTAACCAGAGACTGTTCTAATTCATGATGTTCCGTGGCTAAGGTCTCCAGTGCTTCTGACAAAATTTTGTTTTTTTCTTGCTCCTGTTCCAATTTAAAATTCCTCACCTAGAAGAAAAACAGATATACAAAAATATTTCAGAGTGACAGGAAACACAGAGTTACTCAGAAAGATGTGAGCATTACTTGCAGTTCAGTTGCAACATCAGAAATGAAAAGAAGCCATGCTATATACACATGGATGAGCGAGCAAAATTACTAAGCTAATTTTGTTCTTCCCGTGGGGTCTTCCTCATAACAGCTCTAGCTAATGGAAATAGATTAAAAAAATAACAAACAAATTCAGTTAAAATGATCAGGATCCTAGTATAAAACACAAAGAAACACAGAAATCATATAAAAATATATGATATATATCTCATAAAATATATAAGATATTTCTTGATATTAATAATGAAATTAAGGAAGCAGACATATTTGTACAAAATAATTAAAGCCATTCTAAGTTTTAAATGCATATCTCAAAGCACAGATAGAATCCCGCAGTTTACTTCCAAAATGGCTAATGTACCAAAGGAAAGGGAACGAACTGTTAAATTATAACTCTGATTTCCTTTTTCATTTGTTTTGATTCCATATTTTTCCTAGACTTTAGTACATTAAAAAAATAAGAGAATTTCAATAAGAGAGACAAAATTCTTTGTCTCTCAATAAGAGAGACAAAAAAGTTAAAGTCTAGTTTGGTTTTGCTTTTTAACTGATGTCAAATCTATTCTAATTCAATAGCATCTGAACCTTTGTATTTGACTAAAACTCTCCAAATTTTAAGTAGACTTGACCTTATGATAAGATTGTAGGAACTGGATTTGATATGGATAATCATTTTTTTTTTTTGCTTCCGAACCCTGCAAGCATAACTACTCCCTTATCTCCCTTGACTTCTAGAGTTCACATGGCACTTTGGACAAGAGCTAGAGAAGCTGGCTCAATCGTTACCCACTGTGTAATCTCAGAAGTCTCCTAGTCATTTGTTTCTCACCTGTGACAGAAATTCCACCACTATCTACCATTCCCATCAACAGTCTTCAGGTATAAGCTTTTTCCTGAATCTGCTCATCAGAATCTATTCCTCAAGTAACCCCGACACATAATACCGATGTTTAGAAGCCAACCTTCACTGGAAACATTCTGGAACCCCACGTCCAACTCGCCCCTTCCTCCTAAAGGTGGTCCTCAAGCCACAGAGCCAGGAGCTGGCCAACAGTCTGAAAAGCATTGGACTGAGGGGAACCACCAAAACCTCCAGTTCAAAACTGTCTGTCTCTGGTTCCCAGGAACTACTGACCTTTCCCACAGCAGCTCTCTGAATGATGCCCTGCTAAGGCGCACCCTTTCTTTAGCCATGCTCCCTCTCACTCTCCTCCTCTTGCCCCCAAGGATGAAAGGATCTCCTCTGTTCTCACTCCAGAGAACACAGTGGCCTGAGTCTCTGAGAGCTACACACATTACATGCCTCATTACAATCCAGATAGAGCTCAAAAGATACCTTTGTTGAAATTCTGAGTTCGCAACAAAAAGAGTTAAAAGTCTATCTGGATATAGTTCCAGTCCTCAGACACCTCAGTCTGTATCGTAATAGTAACGAGATTGTTCTTAGGGCTATGATATGAATTTTAAAAAAATGACAATCAATGATGAACAGACAAGGCACACAATATTGAAAAAAATGCACTTATGTAATTGACAAGTGTTAGGAAACGTCAAAGTAATATACCAATCACCTAGATTTTTGTTTTCCAGAGAACAAGATATAACAACAGTTGGCATCAATTTTAGGAAAAGTCTTTTCTCTTGATTTATTTGTGTTAAACAAGTCATTCATCGACAAACAAGAATTCAAAATTGAGTACCATGTTCCAAGTGATCTTTGCCTTGACTGGAAAAGACCTATCAGCACGATTCTATTTGTAGATTCCAAAATCACCACTGCAAGACCCAAATTCTTTCTACCTTGTCCACTCTTCCCTTTAGCTCTATCCCTTTAGCTCTTTTTAGTTTTTCAAATATCAAAGAGCAGACACTATCTTCTCATGTAAGCACCAACTAAATTATCTTTTTAAGTTAACAAATGTTTTTATGCCTAAAATTATCCAACAGATTTCAGTAAAGTGGCAAAATACATGCTGGAGTGTCAAGAGCTCCCTAACAAAATTTTATTCAAAACTCAATTTATTTCTTTATCCATCTAAAATAAGTATCATTTCACTTCTGTTACCTCGACATCTGTTCTCACTTATTCTTAAATGAAAGGGGTGGGAGGCAAAAGCTCTAACCTTGTTCTGGTTCTTGTATTTGTCTCTGAACTGATCTGAGAGAGCTTGTGTTGAACAGGATTCTGCACTGGAGATACCTTACTCTAAATGCCCGCCAAATGGCAATCCGTTTCATCATGTAAATGGAAGTGTAAAAGGACACGCTTGAGCGCCTAGGTCTGTGGGTGTATGTATCTTTTTAATTATGTCCATGCACACACACAAGCTTTGTTCTTATGATGCACCAAGACATACACATTTTTGTTTCAAACTACGAGTACCCTGATCATTAAAGGGATGGGGTGGGGAGTGGGGACACAGAGTAACAGTACAGAAGACAGGGTTCAATTTGTATGCAGCCAGCCTGGGTTCAATCCCTGGAATCTGATATATCCAGAACTCCTACTAGAGTGATCCCTGAGCACAACCAGGTATAGTCAAAAGAAAAAAAAAGAATAAGGAATTTTCTTCACAAAATTAGTCCCAAATGTATTTATAGTAAAACTGAAATAGTTCTATAATAGGGCCAGAATGATAATACAGCACATAGGGTGCTGGTGCTTCCCTTTCATGTGGCTAACCCAGGTACAATCCTTGGCATCTCCTATGATCCCCGGAGCCCACCAGGAGTGATCCCTGAGTGCAGAGTCAGGAGTGAGCCCTGAGCACAACAAGGTGTGCCCCCTCAAAAAAACAAAAATTTTTCTATAATAAGGCTGACATTTTGTTTTTCCCAAATTTCCATATGCCCTTTTTCCTATGACTTTCCCACAACAAAGTCAGACATATAACCAAGTGAACATAAATGCCCAACAAGAATCAGGCTCGGACAAAGCACCACCTATCCTGATGCTTGTGTCAAATGATCACACATTTGATAGTAAACACATACATTGCTTTGTCCCTGCAGCCCCTTCAGATGAATGCAAATTCAAGCTTTACTAAGTAATCTCCTCAAGCCATTTCAACGTGCAATTTTTCATCTTCTCTGTATCATGCTGGCAGGTGAAATGCAGTGAATACTTCCAAAGTAATCTTCACACCAGAAGTGAATGGATGCCAGCAAAAGAAACCAGAATTTTAAAAACAGTCCTCTGCTAGCCATCAAATACACATTCAATCTGTTCCCTTATGCTATAAAGCACCCTTCTAATTTCTCTGTTTTATAGTGGTTAAATCAGGCAGAGACAATTAAAGGTGGCAAGGAAACACCACTAAGTGGAGAACAGTGATTAGTATTCACAGAACATTCTGTCCAATTATCCAGTTACAGGGTGGGTAAGGTTCTGCTCTTGATGATCGATCCAGTCTAACTTTTTCAAGTGGTCACACTCCATTCACTTCAACAGCATGGCCTTACTTGTCCTTGATTTTGGATGTAAGTACAAAAGAAATACAAGATCTGAATTCAAAAACACCTATTTTGTAGTCTTGATACATAGCTCAAAGGATTAGAGCAGGATTCTGGCATGTTCGAAGCCTTGAGTTTGATCCCTGGCACCACACAGTACCCAGAGCACTTCGGGTTGAGCCCTGGTGGCCCCAGTACTGTGCACCAGGGAGCACCACATCAAACTTTCCAGTCTTCATTTCTGGCCCCACTATCACCAAGAATGGCCCTTCAGACTCCTGAAGTACTGCTCCCCCATAACTTTTCCTAAAAAAAAACCACACACACACCTAAGATTCTTCATTAAGTAATAAATTATATTGATACTGTTTCAGTGGTTATAGGACCAAAAATAATTATGTTGTAAAAAATTTTGTGAAGATATGTACTCTAAGTGATTCCATTAGTGTGTGGCATGTTGCTCTTTAAATGGGAGCCTGGTCATTTATAGCTGGTAAAGCTCTTCTGCCTATAGACACCACATTTTCTCAGTGGTGGTGGTGGACGGTGGCATTCTCAATTGAACACAAAAGGTCCCTGCGACTCCACATCTATTAGATGGGCTGAACTGCACTTTTACTGCCAGTGTATAGGAAAATTAAGATTTGATCCCATATCCAAGGCATGATCAAGGATGAAAACACTTCTGTGATGGCTATGGAGTATACATTAGCTTTGATTATACTTTCAGAAAGTACTTTTTGCCTATGTTAAACTGCCTCTAATGCCCGCCTGCTTTTCCAAATATCATGAACTTCCTTTAGTTTCTGAAACCATTGTTCAGTCCTTCCCAGCCCTCCTCCGACACCAAAAAAAAAAAAGAAAAAAAAGAAAAAAGATAGACATTGATAAACACATCAAGATGCAGTGGGCTCTGTAGGGTGACTGAGAGCAGGAAGAAGGTACTGCACAAAGGCCACTTGGAAACACTCTGGCATTGAGTGCGAGAGGGGACCTGGGAGGGCTGTGAGCAGAGTTACTGACACAGCGCTGGGCTGCCTACTATGGGGTCGGAGAACTGAATGGGAGGTCCCAAAAATGTTTTAAAATAAATTAACAATTTATTGAATCAGTATACCCATTTTAGGAAACCACAGTCATGTAAAACTTACTCCAGTGGGAAAAAAAAGGGCACAAGTGGAAAATGTTTAAGAAGTCCTGATTCAGAACAGTGTTTCAAAGCGGACGATACTCTCCCTGGGGTGAGGGTATGCGAATGATCCAGAGGACTGTACAGTCAGTCCTGAAGTACTTTCTGTTAGTTCATTTCGAGAAGGTAGATTCCAGATTGGGGACGGGGGCGGGGGGGAGAGAGTGGGTTGGGGAGGCAGGAAGTACAGAGTGGTATGTAAAAAAGGAGGTAGTAGGCCAAATAATTTGGAAACCTATTACTTAGATTATAGGAT